GTTGTACTTGGTCGTGAATATCCATTTACAACCAATTGGTCGTTTCTCTGGAGGTAGCTCAGACAATTCCCATGTCCCATTTTTCTCAAGAGCACTAATCTCTTCTTGAATAGCTGTTCTCCACTCTGGTATTTGAAGAGCTTCATGGACTGTGTTTGGGTTTGGATAACTGTTGTCTGATTTGCTCACAAATGCATGATGTTTCAGAGATAGATTGCCTAGTGATACTTAATCTTGTATGGGATATTTTGTGCATAATCTAGTACCTTTTTTCATAGCAATAGGTAAGTCAATATCAGTAGCAGAGTCAATAACAAGTACCTCATTACCTGTTGATTCCTGAACCATTAGAGTGAGTACGGATTCATGGCAAATTCTGGTTGGTTTCAGTACTTGTTCACTACGAACTTTGTTCCTTCTAATATAGATACGTAGCTCATTTACTACAGGTAGTGTACACTTAGTTTTTGCTATAGGTTCTGGTTCAGGATCAGACTCTAGAGGAGGTGAATTTTGTAGGCAGATGGAAGGGATGCTGACATCCCACACTTGATATTCCTGAGTAGAATGTTCTCCTTGAATATCAATAGTGGGATAAAAAGCTGGTTCTCAAAAAAAGTGACATCTATTGTATTATAAAATTGTCGTATATTCGGAAAAAAGTATTTGTATCATTTTTTATTCGACGAGTATCCAACAAAACTATACTTAAGGGCTCTTGGGTCAAGTTTCCTTTGAAAATGTGGGTGGATATGAACGAGGGCAGAACATCTGAAAACTTTAAGTGGCAATGAGTGTAAGATATGTGAATCAGGAAAGTTATGAGAGAGAAGATCATAGGGTGTTTGAAAATGTAAAATACGGGAAGATATTCGGTTTATAAGATAAGTCACAATGAGTATTGCCTCTCCCCAAAGAAACTTAGGAACATGGGTAGTGAACATAATAGATCTAGTAACTTCAAGAATATGTCTGTTTTTTCGTTCGGTTATACCATTTTGCTGAGGGGTATATACACAAGAACTTTGTTGAATAATGGCATGTTTCTCAAAGTATTTCCCAAGAGTTGTTTCAAAATATTCATAGACATTATCGGTTTTGAGTACCTTTATAGTGGTATGAAACTGGGTTTGGATTGTAGTGTTGAATCTTTTGAAAATGACTCATATTTCGGATTTTTCTTTCATTAGAAAGACTCGAGTAATTCTAGTGTGATCATTAATAAATGATACAAATCACTTATTTTCGAATATGTTGGTGACCTTGAAAGATTCCCAAACATCATTGTGAATTAATGCAAACGGTTTGGAAGACTTATATGGCAAACTTGCAAAAGAGTTTCGACTATGTTTAAAGATTTGACATACTTCATATTGAAACAAAAGTAGATTTTTATTCTTGAACAACAAGGGAAACATCTTTTGTAGATATAAAAATTTGGATGACTTAAATGATAATGCCATAATATGATATCATTATCATTATTTGATTGACTAACAGAAACAGAGTTTGTACATACTGCCGTTTTAGCTTGTCTTACAGAATAGTCTATTTGAAGGAGATACATGCCTGAGCACATTCTAGCATTGCCAATCGTCCTCCCCGATTCCAAGTCCTGAAATTCACACATTTTTGAACTAAATTTAGCAACACAGTTTAGATTACCAGAAAGTTTGCTAATCGATAATAAATTGCATTCCAATTTTGGTACATAAAGCATTGAATGAAGGGTCAACTGTGGTGTTAAAACAATGAAACCAGTTCCAGCCACTCTGGAGATTGACCCGTATGCAATTTTAATTGTGAAATCCTCATATGATGTTTTGTAATTCTGAAATAGGAATACATTGCCCGTCATATAGGCTGATACTTCAAAATCAACCACCCATGTGTCCTGGTTTGATAAACATGCTGTCAAGCCAATTGTTGCTTTACCTTTTTATGCCACCGAAGCACACACGGGCTGTGTATGGAAACAGTTATGCTTGAATAATTGTTGAAGGACCTTCATTTGTGCAGCATTGGACGGACTGCTTTCTACAACATTTTCTTCAATAGTGGAAGCAACAATATTTCTTGATGGTCTCTATTGCTCTCTGTTCTTTCGGCCTTATTCTCGTTGGGTTTCCCGTGCAACTAACAGCATTTCTTGCGGACATGGCCGAGTTTCCTGCAGTGATCACAGTACGACCTTCCCTTCTTTCCACGGGAATCAGACCGCGTGATGAGTGCTGAGGCACTTTCGACAAAGTAGATAGGTTGAGCTTCTCCCATTATCACCCGCCTCCTGCTCTTTTCTCTCCGGATTTCTGCAGACACTTCTCAGATGCTAGGTAGTGGTTTCATTCCTAGCACCCGTCCACAAACCTCATCCAGACTTTTGTTGAACCCCATCAAGAATTTGAAGATTTTTTTTTCTGCTCTACAAAGAGTTTGAACATCCGAGCATCATTTTGACAAGTTCATTGATGCTCCTCGAAGGTATCCAGTTGCTGCTAGCTTCGGGTTAATTAACTAAAGTACTGAGTAATAGAAAGCTCACCTTGTCATAGCTCATGGAGAGTCGACTCCACCTCGAAGATGGCAGAGACGTTATCTTTGCTGGAGTACGATTCGCGAGCCGCTTCCCAGATTTCCTTCGCTATTTCATACAGCATGAAGTTCTCACCAATGTCGGAAACCATTGAGTTAATAAGCCACGACATTGTCATGCTATTCTCTATTTTCCAAACGTGAAAACTTGGGTCGTTGGTTGTGGGAGGAACAGTTTCACCTATGAGGTAATCGTCGTGGCCCTTGCGGCGAATAAACAGTAAGACAGAGGTTGACCATTGAAGGTAATTTTGTCTGTTCAGTTTGTGCCCCGTGATGAAAGATGATGCCTGCTTAACTAGGTTGTGGTTTGGAGTCGCGGGGAGGTAGGAATCCGAAGAGACTTCGAGAGGAGAGGAATTGAGCTCGTCTGTGACCATTTGAATTCTGGCTCAGCTGAAAGAAGCTCTCGGATCAGAAATGACGCTCTGATACCATGAAGAGTTTTGTGAATGGAGAGTTTTGTGAAAAAATTCTCATTTTTTTTCTCTTATTTCTTTCAGGTACCAAAGGGTGCTTTTTATAGAGGAAAATTGGCATCTTTTCCGGAATGTGAGAAACAGGGATAACAGATTTTTGTTGTTACCATGCCACCTCACCTACTGGGAATATTTCAGTTTGTGTAACAGAATGGAGAATAAGAAATACCTAATTTATTACAGCATTTTCTACATGCTCTAACATCATGTGAAAGAATGAACTATTGTATATTTTATCGAGGATAAGGGACGTATGTATACAAAAGTCTCCAAAAATTATATAAGGAAATCCCTTTAATTACAAAGATTACAAGGGTATATTAGCAATATACCCTTTGCCTACTTTTCATACAAATACACTTCCCAAGACAACTACTATTTAGCTATATGAAGTATTGTTGGTATCAGATGAAAAAAAGAATCATGCTCGGTATATTCAGGACGGAAAAAAGGCAACTGAGCTGAGTGCTTTGAGGGAGAACAAAAAACAACTAATATAAGGACTTAGTTTCGCTATTATCTGCATTGTCTAAAACAAGGCCATCTTCAACCTGCTCAGCAATTGCAGTTCCATTAGCATCCTTGCTAGCAGGAGATTGTAGTTCAAAAACATACCTGACTCCATCTAATTCTTCCTCTGTTTCACGACTTAATTCTTCTTTGTTCTTTTAAACTGGAATCTCGGTGTCCTTCACCTACCAATTTGCGAGAAATCATTCAGAATAAATTCACATAAAATTTATTCATCTTTAAAATCATCTTCATGATAGAAGGAAGGACCGTAGACTCACTTTCCTCAAACTCAGAATCAATATCCTTTCCTGTGTCTATAGGAGATTCTACCCTTTCTCTGTTTTATATCTCGTTTCCCTTTCCTGTGCTACTAACCTCTACCGTCTTTCAATCGCTTGCCTCTTGGATTAAGAACATCAGCGCTGATACTTCCATTAGCCTCCCCAGGCTGACCTTAAAGTTTTCTATGTTATCCTCCAGTTCTATTCTGGTTATCTTTGTTATCCGCTGAACCTCCAGAATTGTAAATAATTCTTTGACTAGTCTTCTTTGAAGAATCCGCTTGGCAGTACTCTTGGGCATGCGTGATATCTTTACATCAATTTGAGAGGGGTTATTGAGTAGAATATTTTATTATTTAATTAGTTGAGATGATTTAATTAAAATTTTACTATAATAATAATTTCATATAATTAAAATTCTAATAGAATAAGAGTTTCCTTATCAGTAGATTAAGAATTTTATAAATATTACAGGTGTAACAATATAAAAAGTGAAAAATAAAATTTATATTTTTTTTCTTCAAAAATCAACACTATCAAAAATTTTCCATAGTTCTCCTGCCTTGTTTGATGGTGCTATGAGCAAATTTTTCTTCTGTCAAACAAATTTGAAATAGTCTAGAATCTTTCATGCAAATTCTGGTTTTCTGCCGGGAAGAACCTTTTATGCTCTCTGTGCGTCAGACGCATAATACCTCCATCTTGCATCAGAAGACATGCAAAGACACCCCTTAACCATATCACTCTGTCCTTAAAAGATATTTGACTCACCTTCTGGCTTGGAAATTCTGAAAAACATAATCTGAAGGGACCAAGAGCAATCCTAAAGGACTTAGCTCGTAAAGAAAATCAGAAATTCCCCTCATAATTGAACTAGTCTAAACACTCTGCTTCCTTTTGTCTTCATTGCTTGGGAGGTTACTCTTAGCTCGTATTGACTAGATTATTCTTTTTATTTCTTTCAATGTTATATACTCGTAGAGAATACTGGGCATCAGAAAATGTTAACTTGTCCAACTTGAGGGTTCTATTGAATGGTGTAGCAAGTATCAATTAGCTGTCGCTACTTAGTCAGTTGTTCTCATTGTCTTAAGGTGATGTCAATCTAATTACTTTTCTTGTGTTCTTGCGCTAGGGTGATAGTATTCTGGCAGATTCTGGTACTGAGCAGCTGGAATTTATTGCTCTTTCTCAAAGGACAGGGGACCCGAAGTATCAGCAGAAGGTATATTTGTTTCATTTTCGTTTTTTTGGGTCTCATGGAATGCAAGTTATCAATCTCATGTTATATTTTCAATAAATCGGTGATACACAAAAAAAATGTCTTTTTTCTTTTCCTGGTTTATCATCTTCTTAAAATTGACGAGGAAGAAAAAAAAAGTGCAAGAGATTCCCTAAAGAAAAGGAACACTAGCAAAAAGGAAAAGATAAATTTTAAAACAGAAGGCAAGAACCCCTGGCTGAAGATTTTGCCAACTTACTGACTTTCTAGAAGACACAAGACATAATATCTCAATCATTTCCTTCATGAACCGCCATAGCAGTACATTTCTTGTAACTTTTTCCTTTTTAGGAACTGGAATTATTGTGAGTTGTTAGAATTTATTTTTCAATTACTTTGCTTTTTTCTTCCAACTTCTATGCTTGCCTAGAAATTATGTTCAATTCACTCTTTGGAGGCTTATGCTTGATTTTTTAATTTCCTTACATCCTACTAGATATGATTTAGATTCTTCTTCCTCTTTTTGGATAGTGGGAGTTCCTTCTAAGATAAGAATCTTCGTGTGGGAAAAAAAAAGATCAACATCAGTAACTTGCTTTAGATCCATAGGCATTAAAAAGCACTTTCTCTTGTTTGTTTGATGTGCTTTTGCAGAATTGAGAATATGAGCTATTTGTTTCTTTCTTTTTATCTCAAAAATAAGTTATTTGTTTCTTCATTGTGAGATGGTTTCTTCTTTCGTGTTTCTTGGGTGTGTCCTCCCTAGTTGAGAATCTTCATCTCCACCTTTTTATGTAGTTTTGGATGGGTAATGAGATTTTATTGTAACATGATTGTAGTTACAATTTTATCATGCATGATAGCTTGTAGGTGATAAATATCTTTTCATTTTAGTTGTTAAATGAAAATATTTCAATTATTTGTTATATAAAAATTATATAATGCACATCACATTTATTTAACAAAATAGTTTTTTATTCCAATGGTGCAACAGATTATTTATGTAATAATTTATTTAAAAAGATAAAAGAAAAAATTAATTACTAATACTGATCATTGAAGGAGATTTATTTTCTGGAAAAAAGAAATTACTATACATATTTGCTATCTATGAAGATATATATTTATTATATAAGACAGAAGTGAATGATAAAAAAAATAATTGTAGATGTAATAACTTAAAAACTTATTTAGATATAATATATAGAACAAGAAGACACATTGCTAGATTTTATTAATTGTTATTGTGTGAGTTTTTCTTGTGTTCTTTAACTTTTCATGTTGTTTATTTCATTGATCGTTTCACCACTTTTTCAATTATACATATTATATGTGCATTCTATTAGGTTTTTATTTAAATATTATTTTATTTGTTCTTATATCTTTATTTTTTACAAAAATTCTGTTTTAAATTCTTTTGGCACAAAAAGTTTTGTTACGGGAGATCAACTTATACAGCATATACAACAGATGTCAATGATACCTTTTTTTTTGGAAAAGGAAATATTATACAGGACAAGGGAGCCAATTGTCAGTGGTAGTAAGACAACAACGAAGTGAGTTATGCATGTATAACTTGTATCACCCTCCTAGTACCTAAGCTATGGCTATGCAATGGAAGTGCTGGTTAGGATAATAGGCATCATTTAGTGAATATGCATAACTAACACTTGATAAATGCACATGGTACATGAAATGTTAGTAGGGAGTGTATTGATAAGCTTAGAAGAAGGGGTAAGATCATGGTGAATGCCTGTTATTTCTGCAAGATGGAGGAGACTTGTAATTATGGTCTGTTCTGGTGTTCAGTGGTCTACAAACTATGGACTATGGTCTATAGCCTTTTAGGAATCAGTTGGGTGGTATCAGGTTCAGTGAGAGATGAAATTTGGGCGTGGAAGGGTTTGGCTGGTAGGAGGAAACAAGCAGAAATAATTCCACTCACTGTCTTCTGGGATGTGTGTAAGGAGAGGAACAAAAAAGAAATTTGATAGAGTTAATGATGTTGATGGATTTTGACTTATTTAAGAATAAATGGTTAAGGATAAATAGTTTCAGACCCTTGGTTTTTTGTTGTTGGATCATTCTCTTCATTCTTTAGAGGAGTTAGGGAACCTTCTTGATATTCTGGTTGTTTTGTAAATTTTTTGTGAATGGGCAAGCACCTCCTTGGTATTAAGATTAATTCATATATACACGTCTTTATTTAAAAAAAAATGCACATGGTGCATGGTGTCTCTGTTGTATTTTTAAAAGGAAAGAGACTGTTTTGATCGTGTCATATGGTAATCAAGGCCACAACGCTCATAAGACATCCATGAAGTGCCAGGAAGTCACTGGTAGTTTGTACTATAAGAGAAGGGGTAAAAATGAAAATGTATTCACAGGGGCAGAAGGGACTTTTTCTAGTGTACCGATTGGGGTTAAAGTTTGGAACGGTGAAACAGAGACTGTTCGAAAAGGACCCTTAACTGCTGGCCATTCGGCCATTGCAATCTCTAGGCACTTCTGGAGGTTACCGCTTTCATTTCCCTCTTATTTTCCTTGCCATTTGTAGCCTATAAATAGACATGAATTTTGTGAATGGAAGGCATTGAAGAATTTTAACCAAAAAAACACCTCGGTTGATCTCTCTCTGTCTCTCTCGATCTCTGCTTCTCTATTCTCCCTTTGTGTCTATACTCTCTCTCTCGCTCAGAAACCGGAAAATATTTACCTCATGAAGTCGGAATCGTGGGTAAGAGTTCTGGCATGAAGACAATAAATATATGCTTGGGTATAGAAAAGTTCATTTATTTAGTGAAGGATATTGCTGCTAACAACGACTCTAATATTGTTAATGCAAAATTATAAATATAAAAATAAATAACTATAGTTTAAGTGGTATTTGAGCTACTAATTTGAAGGTTCACTTATATACTATTTAAAATATTACTGGTCATTTTCTATTTTAACAATATTTTGTTTGTAACGGCCCCGAAATTTAAAAATGAAATATGTGTATTAAAAAGGTCAAATGCGGAAGCGTAATAAAAATTTTGATTGACATCCCTTACACTAAAACAAAAAACGTACTCAAAGTATAAAAGAACAAACTAACTAAAAGAGAATTACTCGAAAATAAAAGTTATAAATATAACTACGGAGTGTTCAGGCGTCCCCTTCGCCGTCTTCCTGCGGAACGGGCTCGGGAACAATGTTTTCCTAATCTGAAATGATTAAATAAGGAATGAGCTACACCAGCCTAGTAAAGACATCACACTATCTCACCGTCACGGAGGTAAAGGTGGGTAGAAAACACAAAAAGACCAATGAAGCATAATTTACAACAAATTCTTTTATCAATAATAAAATCCTTTACTATCCACTTACCTCGGTGAAATTTATAAAACAACATACGAAAGCAATAACATCATCATCATGAAATCATATGAACTGTATAACATAATACTTATCACGCCTTTTGCAATTCAATCATTACACAACATATTTTTCCTCCTTTACCAGCCTACTAGTATCCATGGGGATCCATAGGGGTCCCGCTACCCGTGAACCCTTAAAACTTGTAATCAGATTTCAGGGCCGTCCCCATACCCCGTCCGGTATGGGCGCCAAAATTATAAACCTCAATACCCCGTCCGGTATGAGGGTGAAACGGGCCATCCCCATACCCTGTCCGGTATGGGCGCCAAAACACATAAGGTCTCCATACCCCGTCCGGTATGAGAGACCACAATCCCGGTAGGGTTCCCTACGGACCCGGTCCGTCCACTATTTCCCAGGATATCTAGTCAGGCTGACCACATTATACAATTATCAATTTACATAACCTTTCATTCCCCTTTTCCTCAGTCAGCATCATCAAGTCACACACAAACATGCAAACCAGTAGTTCACGCCAACAAGACAACACACAACATCGGTTTCTCAGTCATTCAGTCCATAATCAATGAAACAGTGATACATGCACACGAAACTATGAAATGAAAACATCAGACATCATACTGCATTTAAAACTGTAAAATAGAACAAACAACAACTGACCGACAAATACACTAGACTCGGGCTCCATCAGCAACCTTAAACAATTTCACACAGTTATTGATTCATGAAATACCATTTTATCATTTATTGCACTTTAATACCGTGATAGAAAATAGGGTGATGAATCCTTACTTGTTTTGGGGTCTGAATACGGCTCTACAGTGTGCCAACAGTCTGTCCCTAATTTTCCCTGAACTTTTTTCGGGGAACTGAAACGCACTACTGGTACCTGCATGTGTCCCAAAAATCCCAAATTAGACCCAGGGCCCCTTTCGGCCAATATCGCAATTCCGGCACGGCGGCTCCGCCGTGCTCCGGCAAGCGGCGGCGATTCGCCTCGAGTTGGCCGTTTTCGGCCGTTTTCGGCCGAATTCGGCCACACTTGCATCGGTCCCTGCGATGAAATAACCCTAGGGCCCTCGGGGGGCCAAAAAATTACGAAAAACCGAAGCTTACCGGCGGCGGTGCTCTCGGGTGCGGCGGCTCTCCGGTGAGGTTCGTGTTTTGGTGATTTGGCTCCGATCAACCTGTAGAGAAAAGAATGGTGATCACGGTGATATAAAAATTGTATCAAACGGAGACCGGGAAAGGCCTCATCGGAGGCAAAAACCGAGGAGGGGCGCAACGGCGCCGCTGGGTTTCGGCCGTGTTTTCCGGCTGTTTGGCCGGGATTTTGGCTCCGATTTGGCCACAAGGGAACTCAGCATGAAAAACGAGTCGGGGGTATGAAATTTACCTCGATCAGCGGTCGAAAATCTCCCCGGTGCGGCGGCGGGTGGCGGCGGCCGGCTCTGGTTCGTCTTCTCCGGCGAGGGCAGGCGGTTAGGGTTTTGTGGTCTGGTGTGGGGGTTCTATTTATACCCTTTTCCCTTTTGATCTTAGCCGTCCATTTTGATTTAATCTGGGCCGTCCGTTTTTGATTAAATCTGGGCCGTCCGTGTGCGCGATTGATCTGGGCCGTCCGATCGCGCGCACGCGGATCGCCAACGTGGCCCGTCCCGGATCGACGTGGTCTTGCCACGTGGCAGGTCCCG